CGCCTCCCCTTGCCTCCCCTTGCTCCCCCTCGCCTCCCCTCGCTTCCCCTCGCCTCGTCTCCCCCTTCTTGGGAGCTGATAGGAGGTTGTCGTGGCTAATGAGTGATGAGAAATGAGTCTGTGGGCGAATGGGAAAAGGTGGAGTAGGAGAGAAGACGGAGAATAAAGAGAGAAGAAGAAAAAAGAAAGGAGAAGAAGAAAAAAGAAAGCCATACACACAAACGCCGTTAAAATACATCATATAGCCGTAGGTGTATAAGCTTTCCCTCTTGACATTACGCAAGAATAATCAATTATATCTGAGGAAAACAGAGAGAGAGAGAGAGAGAGAAGTAGGACGAACGGCCTGGGAGTATGGGAGGTGTTTGTATATTTATTCAGTCTGTTACAGTGTTAGTTGATATTCCATATTCCAAGTGTGTATAGGCTTTCACCTTTAATAATACACTCGTGTGAACTGTGAGGCTTAAGCACAGGACTCCACCTCTTCAAACACTTACTGAACACATGAGTCCTACAATACGTAAACATGTCTATTATCATTTCTCTTTGGGTTTAATGTTTATTGATGCATCCCTTAGCTATTCATCATGTGTAAGAATGTAGGTTGGTTATTGTGTGTATGTGATTTTGAGAACGGGTTTGTGTGTGTGTGTGTGTGTGTGTGTGTGTGTGTGTGTGTGTGTGTGTGTGTGTGTGTGTGTGTGTGTGTGTGTGTGTGTGTGTGTGCTTATATGTGTGTGTGCTTATGTGTGTGTGTGTGTGCTTATATGTGTGTGTATTTGTGTGTGTGTGTGCTTATATGTGTGAGTACTTGTGTGTGTTTGTGCTTATATGTGTGTGTGCTTGTGTGTATGTGTGTGTGTGTTTGTGCTTATATGTGTGTGTGCTTGTGTATTTGTGAGTGTATGTGTGTACTAGTGTGTGTGTCAATGTGTGTGTGTGTGATTTCGTGCGTGAGTGCGTGCGTGCATGTGTGTGTGTGTACGTGTGTGTGTAAAACATATTTGTATGTATTCATGTACACAATATGTATAGATGAAATTAAGCATTCCAACGACTAATACTAACACCATATTCATCTTCAATTTCTTTATCTGAAATATGATTCTTTGATGAATGATTACAGAAGATCATTAGAAGTTAAGAAACCATGAAAGATGCTTTATATGCTTTACGTTTAGTGGACTTGCCTAACCTTGAGTAAAAATGATAAAGAATTATAATGATAAAAGTTATCTGAACACAAGATATAGTCTCCGAGACTACACATAAACAATCAACTCACTATTTTGTGTTATGTGAGATTTTTTTTCTGCTATTTAACTGTTTTGTTTTTGTGATCTTTTTATAGGTTAATCCATTTAATTCAACACCCTGTACCAGTATAAACAGAGATTCCCATTTTAGTTAAGCAACACAACATTCAATTAATAATATACGTATTCAAATGAAATACAATTATAATGTTCGGAATATTACAGAAAATTGAACTTAGGTAATAAAAAACAAAACAAAACGTGGTTACATAACAGTTTCTCATACAAGAAAATGTCGGGCTTGTAAATATCTTGTAATATGACAACCCACTTGACGGCATGATATGTTCACTAGTGTTCGGTGGCAACTTTTCTATTTATTTTTCTGTATGATTTTCTTTTCCTCTCTTTGTCTCCCTCCCTCCTCTCTCTCTCTCTCTCTCTCTCTCTCTCTCTCTCTCTCTCTCTATCTATCTGTCTATTTATCTACCTCTAGCTAGCTACCTAGTTATCCTTCTATCTATCTAGTTAGCTATCACCCTACCTATCCATATGTCTATCTATTCTATCTATCCCCGCCCCTCTCTCTTTCTCAGTCGGCATTTGAGTCTATGTGTCTGTCAGTCCGTTAGTCAGGCAGTCTGATTGCCCTCTCCACCCTCCCTCTATTTCCCTCTCCTGATGTGATATGTATCAAAGAGGAAGCGGGTTGGAAGGACATACGGAAAGATTAATAAACTCGTATTCACCATCACACATGCACACATACATAGACACACACGCACACAGACACAAAATGCACACATTCACCCAACCCCCCCTCTGTTCCACCCCTTTCCCACCAATATGCGTTGCTCTGCGTGTCGGCTTTTATAAACCATTGATCATGTACATATCAACACATGTTTCGTTGGGTCTAACAGTCCCCAATGCTGAACACAATGAATCAGTATCGCCAGTGTTCATAGGAAGTTCATCAGATTCCCACGCTGTTAGAAGTCAGATGTCATTGTTCCGGAAGTGGAATGAGGGAGAGAGAGAGAGAAAAAAAAAGGGGGGGAGGAGGGAATAGAAAAATGGTGTGATATTATATAAGGTTTTCATGTTACCGGAAATCGAAGCACATAGAATGCAGGAAATGGAATAAAGGGGGGGATACAAGAGGTCTTTGAACGTAGGCAGAAGTAGAATGAAAGAAAATAAGAGATTCTCACACTACCGGAAGCACAGGAGGTTTCCAT